ATTTTTGAAAGATATACAGTTTCTTGCTTACGAACTAATTAAACAGTTATTAATTATGAATTTGCGACAGAAATATTTGACTTGTATAATTTCGTTGTGAAATCCACAATCTTGACATCAAGGTTCAGAATATTTTAGACAAGTATGAGTTATTCTTTGCAGGGTTTATAAATTTATATTAATAAACCAGCTTCAGTTGTCCCTGCCCGACTTTATAACTACTGAAAATATTTGAACATAAGCTACTTTTCTTTTAATCTGGAAATCATTGTGCAAAGTAGAGTACTCACATCAAGTTTTTGTAATCTCTGTAATAAACTATAAAGTTTGATTTTATCAATATTTTGTGTGTTATCATTAAGTGCTAAAATCATTTAGTTAAATCCTCTGCCTAAATAGTATTATTGTTCTAAGTTTGTTGCGTTTCATATTTTACTTTTTAGGTCTAGCATGGCCTGGTGGTTAGATGATCGACTCGCAATCTGCGGGTCGCGGGTTCGAATCCCCGTCCCACCAAACATGCTCGCCCTTTCAGCCGTGGAGGCGTCAATCCCACTATTGTTGGTAAAAGAATAGCCCAAGAGTTAGTTTAGATACGCATAACACTTTTGCTTTAGCTTAACTAAATTTTAATTATGATTTTTAGGATTTAAACCTATTCTACTATTTATAGTTTATAAATTACATTAAGTTTGTTTTTTCCACACTGATATAAAATATTTTGTGATAGTACTGACAAATAGCAAGAAAAGTCTGAATCTTACATTTTGAATGGCTTTATTACTTTACAGCTTTAGCGCCATCTGAACAGAAATAAACAACCTTTTATTATAAGTTAATTCCAAGAATCTGGTTTAATTTTGGCGAGTCTTTCAGGAACTAATTTGAATTTGTTGCCTATGTTAGAGATATTAACAGAAGAATAATTTCCGGATAAATCTTTTTTTTTCAATGCTATAAGGAATATTTTGAAAAATCACTTAAACATGAATGTAACAATTTCCCAAGTGCCCTTGAATATGTCTGACAACGAAACAGCCTGCCAAGTGCTCTTAAATCTTTCTAACAATAGAACAGCCTGCCCATTGCCCTTGACTCTTAATAACAACGGAACAGTCTCCCAAGGGCACTTGTGTCTAGTAATAGAACAGCCTGCCAAATGCCCTTAAATTTTGATAACAAAGTAACAGCTTGCCAAGTGTTCTTAAACCTTTCTAACAACAGAACAGCCTAACAAATGCCCTTGTATCTTTATAACAATGGAACAGCCTGCTAAGTGCTCTTAAACCTGTCTAACAACGAAACAGTCTGCCAAGTGCTATTGAACCTGTTTAGAAACAGAACAACCTGCCATGTGCCCTTGAATTTTTTTTGACAATGAAACAGCCTGTCACGTTCCCTTGAACCTTTAACAACGGAACCATCTGCCAAGTGTCATTGAACCTTTCTAACAACGAAACAGCTTGACAAGTGCTAAGTGCCTTAAACCTTTCTGACAACTGAATTGAGGAATGACAAAGTCTAATCACATCCGCCACCGAAGGTGGACTGAGGTTATGTTTCATCCTTGTGTGTGTGTGTGTGTGTGTGTGTGTGTCAGCACGATTTATCAAAAATAGATGAATTGATTTGGACGAGAGTTGGTGTATATTTGGCTCATCAGTGTTGGTTGTAAGAGCGAAGCAACTAAATAAAGTAGGCCTCATATATTCACAACTATACATGTAAACGAATCAAGATTTGAAATTGGTGATGCCAAGTTTGTTTATTTCACTTCTAAACCAAAAACAATTTTCTTAATATAAAGGTGTTAAACGTAAATTGGATCTAACGACAAGGTTCATGTACAATTATTAGGTCTCGTTTGAATCTAGGGAGTTATGTTCTACTTGCAGTCTTAAATACCAGCGAAACAAATAAATTTGTAGCTGAGCTTCCTAAGGTTATATTGTAGAGAAATTTACACATTTAAAGTATAGTTATATTCTAAACTCGTCTGGGTTGCTGCTATTGCCATGACAATTTCTCAGTTTTACAATTAAGTCCAGGTTGTGTAGCAGATATCTTCCCTTAGAGTTGGTTGTAATGAAACGTATAATTTTTTCACTCTAACTAGTCGTACCTTTTTAATGAAATTATTAGTTACTATCTTGAGCTTTCGTTTTGTATGTGTTTACTATTTTGGTCTGTGTTTGTTTTTTAAAGTTAGCTCTGGTATTAGTGTTTAAAGCTATTTTCGAAAAAGTGTACTATCTTTAGAGGACATAATATACACATTATTTGGCTAACAATTCATGTTTTAGTATTTGATTTAAATTCTTAATCTCAGTTGATACCAACACAGTGCCGTTTGTGGTCCAATTGGCACACCTAAAGGTGCCAAGTACTTTTATTAACTTGTCATTCAGGTTTTGTGCATTTGTAAATCGATAAGAGGCATACGACAGAAATGTTTAGTAATACGCGCTCGCGCGTGTGTTTTGTTCCAAATATGTGCCAACGAAGCTGAATACTATTTAGTGACAGATTCGACCAAGAATGATTTAATATGGTTATTTATTGCGGTTTTTCTTGACATTGCTTAAAGTTATAAGTTAAACTTTGGTTTTAACGCTTAATGCATTCCTTCTATTGACAAGTTTAATCAACTCTTCCTGGGTGCTACCAATGAAGAAAGTGGAACGGTTTTAAACCCATGAAGCATCACAATAGAATAGTGTGTGATGATTATCAGTTTCTTGACCTCTTCCTTGTTTGTAAGTGGATGAGTGTGAAAATATTTTTTTCTCTTTCTTCCGAGATAACTGTTACTTTTGTTTAACATTATTCATGAAAATTTACAATTTGATTTAAACTTTTGGGTAATGGGAGAACCACTGAATTAATATTTTTACCAGCTTGCGCAGGTGTATAAAAAGAAACATGCACACAGCGTTGCCTTGAAACCGTAACGTTATTACAAATTACATTAAAAGTGTGCGTTTCATGTCAGAGTATTCATTTACTCGTCGTTCAGTAAGGTTTTCACTACTATTAATGTTAACACGCGAACAAAATGTCATATTCAACTTTATGTGGTGCACGTAAATAGAGGGAGAGCATAGTGAACACTTGATGCGACTTGAGTTGATAATGCAGTGCTATAAGATGAAATGAAGTGTCTTGGTCACCTTACAGTGTTACATACGATTTTGTCTCACAAATAGAACTGTACCAAATGGCAAAGCTGTAGATTGTATGATTCTCCAACCATCTCTGCTTTCATACTCAAATACTGGATCAGTCCTGCATTTTGGTTCTGAGATGATGGCTGTGGATTTATTTCCAAATTACCATTTGGGTAGCCTTTTGGATAAATAGATTAGAGTATTAGGATTAGGCAGGATTAGAGTAAATTAATCTACATGCCTTTTTTTTACCATTTTTATAAGCTATATTTTTGTGTGCCAGAAATACAAAGCATGGAGCGCGCATATACCCGATTATATTTTATTACTCATCAGGATTTTTACCGGCCTACCCTCAAATTGAAATTCTTTTAGGCTGGATTAGTACAAATTGATCTATGAGACCTTGGACATAGTAAAATATATCGATTGAAAGGGTTTGATCTTCTGAGTCCAAAACTGTAATTAGGACTCAAATCAGTCAAGAGATGATAGAGCTATGAGCTGAAAGTTTGTTTTTGAAAAACTCAGAGCCATTCTAATTTGCACGAGCCGCTATGCCGTGGCTAAAAAAAACTGACAGGTTTTGTGTTGTACTTACATTTTAGTAGTATGCAACAGTTTAGGGAGGCAGCGAGCCCGGTCCCTGATAAGTAAAAGGTTGAGACACACTCGAATAGGCTACAGATCTTTAATTAATAGAAGAATAAGCGAAACCACGCCGAAAATTGTATTTTACTAAGAAAAAATCATTGTAAAGAGAACTGTGGAATGCAACTCAATAAGCCCGTGAGTCACCTGTAAATGCTACAAGAATCCAGTTGAAAGCCTGTTATATAATAATATGCATGTAAAAAGTGTGCAGAAATAAAATATACATAATAATTCTCACCTTTTCTAAATAATCCGCAACTTGTAAGTTATTTTAGAAGACCTTCAATTTTCAAAATATCATGTTTCAATCGTTACAGGTTTAGACGTGAATGTATTCAAATAACACACCTTAGGGGACATATTCAATTAACACAATTTAGGGAACATGCTTCCTGATGATTTGTATCAGGATAGGTAATTTCTTATCTGATACAGTGTTTTCTTCAATTACATTATTGCATAAATTTATTCAACTAGTGTTTTTGTAATGAAATTTAACTATTGTTATCAGGATTGGCAATTCCTATTCAGATTGAGTATTTCTTTGTTCTAGAACTACATTATTGTGTAAATTTATTTAACTAATGTTTCGTAATGAAATTTATTGTTATCAGGATAGGAACCCCTATTCAGATTGATATATATTTTGTTTTGAATTACGTTGTGTAAATTTATTCAACTAGTGTTTTGTAATGAAATTTAACTATTGTACGATAAATATGAATTCTATCATACTTTTGCATTGGTTTCGTAGTGGCTTTTTTATATAACTATTGTGTTTTAATTAGTAATAGTATGCCAACTAATTCTATACCGATATTACATGGAACATAATAAACGCGTAGTATTAAATACTTAAATTTTAATATACGCAATTTCAGGTTGCATATTTACAGTCCAAACTATCCGACACCCCTCATTTTAAAGTGTGCCCTTTTTTAACTTTAGCTGCTCTAGTTTAACCTTGCACACTAATTTACTTCATACCTTTCAGGAAACGGTGTAATAAATATTTTTCAAATAATGTTGAATAACATTTTTTAAAGACAAATTGTAACTGGGCAACATAATTAGCCACAGATTGTTCAACTATTGTGAAATGACACGATTAAAAGTATCCTCATAAGACAAACAAATAACTGTTGTATTATTCATAATAATAATAAAAAATGAGAGAACCTGTTATTCCTGGAGGCAACCTTTCTTGAACAAACCTTGCAGCGTTTTTTACCTCTTCGTTGTTGGTGACATCCAACTGAACAAGTTGAAGATTTCTTGAGGCTTTAGCCTGCAAACGCAAAGCACGATCTTCTTGAGGGTTACGAAAACCAGCAAAAACATGAAAACCCAATCTGTCAAGTCGTCTAGCACATTCCCAACCAAATCCAGAATCACAGTCTGTTATCAACACAGCGCTGTCATTAACCTTTCTTTTCTTGATTTTTCCATTCCAAACGTAATTAAGAAGTATCGTTGACATAACTGTTACAACGACGATTGCTGGAAAATTTTTAACTACGTAAGTTTCACGAAGAGACTCTGGTATTTTGATTTCTGACATTATGAATATCTTATAAAATTCTACTATCACTCACACTCAGGTGGTATTTAACAAGTACACTTGACAACTTCTAAGTCCAAGCATCCACCATACTGCTTCATAGTTTTCGTTGTCCCACCTCCGTCTCTGTAAAATGAGAGTTAATCACGTGACGCACAGTTAAATCGGAAATATCCCTAACGAGGCAGCAGCAGCAGTACACTTTGAACATTGATAAGATATTCTTCTGACGTAAACTTGCCTCTTTTGTCATAGAAAAGTGCTTCTACGCAGCACCTAAGATTTCACGTTTGTATTGTATGTGTGGTTGTTTACGATTTACCTCTGTACTCTCCCTTTCAGCAGTAGCAACTACATTTCTCAGTAAGACAAAGACATGGGTATAGGTCATTCTGATAGTTTCAAAATTAGTAGATGAAACATACATACGAAATAACCGTCCATTTAAACTATCCTGTTAAAATTACTCTGATACATTTATATGTACCACTCTAGTAACAATGTATGCAATAAAACTACTAAACTATGTCCAGATATTTTGAGATTTACGGGATTTTCTAACGTACCATCTCATTATCTTATTTTTGTCAAATAGTTAGTTTAATTGTATCTAGACGGGTTAGTCCTTCTACGTTTGAAAATGGCATTTATCTAAACCTTATTATCATACATGATAGCATATTTAATCTGTGTGCATGTGTGTGAGTCAAAGTGTGAATGCCACGACCTTTTGTAGAGTGTCATTGTATTATTTATTTGATGTCAGAGTTATCAGCTATTCATTTTACACTACATAGTTGGCTTGTGGTAGAAGAAAGTAAGTAATGAAAAAAAAAAACTACAGATTTTGGAGGTTTTAGAGGTTAAGCAAACTGTACGATGGATTTTTTATTCTTCACATAAACATCACTTTACACTCCGACTTGTCCGAGTCAGACTGACATCATCAATTCACACACAAATCTTGAGTACAAATACTTTTGTGACACATCTGAGTTTTGTGTACAACAGACTTGTACATTTTACTAAAACCTTGCCACATTTCATGTAGAAACATGTAGTAAATTTGGAATTATACATAATATTCCTTCTTTAATGCGGGATCGGTTCAAGGAATCAACCTCGTGCACCTTCGGTTAACCAACTTCTGTGGTCAGCTAGTTTAGAAACTAATACATAATGCAAATGAATTAATTTGTGCTTCCCGAATATTAGAAGTAAATAATGAACTCGGAAATATTGTGAATTTTACGTCTTTCCTTATAAAAGGAGGAATATTTTTGTAAAAACTAGAGTTACAAGATTTTTTGAACTCTAATTTGTTTCCTCAATTTATCGATCCTCTAGCCTTTTCAACAATCAGGCTGTCTGACAGTTATATGATAAACTATATGTTCTTATCATATAGAAGCTTTGTGGAATATATTACAGATTGTTAAGCAACTTTATGATTTAAGGATAAATGAGCGATATTACTTACTTACTTCTATCACCCTTTAGTCTAATCAATAGGCTATAAAAACATTTAATGGTCGCTACTATTGATAAAAATATAAATAATTGATAAATAATATTTATTGTAGAATGCGTAAAATTTCGAATTGAAAGTTTAAGGTATCTCAATTTAATTTTTTTTCTTAGGAGTTTGCTAGAAATTAGTTTTTGCAAATATTTCAATTTATTTTATAGTTTTCAATAATAATATTTCCCATTGCCGCCTTTTAGCAGGCACACTCTTCGTTCTTTAGAATTCTGGTCCTCAATAGGCGACCTGTAGACTATAACCGGCCTAAGAAACCTTTATTTCTGGTCTGCAACACCCCTTTACTAAAGGTTACTTGAGAGCAGTGTAGTACAAAGGTTTTGTTTATATTCAATGATTAAATATGCAACAAGCTAACCATTGATAAAGTTGCATTTCCTTCTTTAAGTGCCTTTTTGATATTATTATTAAATAAAGCTGTATATCATGCCACCAACACCTACCTTACCCGCTCCGTTACTCTCCTGGTTATTAACCACGGCATAGCAGCTCATACCAGTGCTCTGAGTTTAACTGTTTTTTTTTTTTCAAGTACAAACCTATAGCTCGTAGCTCCATCTCTTGACCGATTTAAGATCTAATTACAGCCTCGGCTATTGAGAATTCCGTCTTGTTATAATTAAATAGCATAAAAAAGGAGAGAGAATATGAACTTCATAATATTCAGAATAATATTTATGGACGTTTAAGAAATTGTTCTCCTAGAAATATCTTCAAGCGATGGTTACGAAGTTGTTTTGTCTGTGATTTCTCAGACACTGTTTAAAATTCATCATAACTTTCAGCAATAACACTGAAGTTCACCAAAGAATCCCATATTCTATAAAACCAGATAATGATACATTAGCAATATCTATCTTCAAAAAATACATATGTCTAGTTATTTAAAAGTATATTTGGCTATCAAAGTACAGCAAAATCTTGCCGATCAATTCGCCGTGAGGGTAGGCAAGTAACGCATCAGTTACGTTTCCAAACTTTCTCAGCTCAGAACCCCATCAGAAAATTCCACATACTGACTGAGACCCCCACACTCAATGAATCAATAAATACTGAGCATCTTAACAGTACTCAATGTTTTGTGTATTTGCTACGAGTCCTCTTGACACTTTTCCTGTCGTATCCTTGGAGTTGGCGGAGTCCAGTTTGGTACCCCCTGACTTAAGAAGTATAAATACTCTCTTATGATGATTTAATAAATCAAATAAACTTGAATTTTAGGTTTTTCTGAAATATATATTTCTCTTTGGTTAAGAATATTTTTCTTATTAATTTGATAACTGATAAGTTATTAAAGATCGATTTTGTCTTCACAATCAAAATACAGTACATCTACATCATTAACTTCGGTGAATTTTGAACTCTTGTTTATTTTCGTGAGATATATTTATCCCTTAAATACACACAGACCGGAATAAGGTTTACAAGTGATAACATTCTATGAAGAGTTTAAGGGAAACGCCACTTGAGGAAACTTCCGCTTTTTTACAGGAACAGAAAGCTATCACTAATTAACGCTGTATTTCCCGGGAGACCTAATCTAAAGTATTATTTGACAAACGTCGTGTGTGTGTGTCTATTTATAACTAGCGAACCGCTGTACCTATTGTTACCAAACCTGACATGTACCCCCCTCCCCTCCGGGGATGGCTTAAAGTTGTCGACGTTCGGATTTAACCTACCCTTTCACGTTTAACGATACAACTTTTTATTCTGTTCTTTCTTTGGATTTTCTCAATTGAACATGTAGTAGCAAGTAATTTTAGTTTTCTAAGATGTAATGTTTACTGGGAATGGAAGATGATGCAGAAAAAACTGAATGTAAGCACAACATCACATTCGTTTAGACAGTTTTGGTAATACTACTGGTGCTGCAGTTTTTAGTGTTACAGAGTTCTTTCATTTGACTGCAGAGTCTTCTCGTGGTTGATCCAATATATCCCTGGTTGCACCTCGGGCAAGTGAACTCGTATATCACTAGCTAGGTTTCAATGGATGTTGTTTGTCTTTAAAGTTGAGCAACGCTTTTAACCTAGATTCTGTTTTAATGAAACATTTTAACTGAACATGTGGGTTGAATGTTTGTTTGTTTATTTCATATTGTCGCGCAAAACTACAAACAAGCTATCTGCACATAACTGTTTCTAATCTTGAAAAAGATAGTTTAGAAGGATTTCACTAATCAACATCACACTTTGTCAATTCCTCGACTACTTTTATCTGGTCGAATATTAGGATTTTACCGTCACTCTTATAACGCATCCACGGCTCGAAAGTCCGAAGTTCGTTTCTGTGGCGATAGATCGTGAACAAGTGAGGCAAAATTAACCTTATTTGTGGCTACTTAAAAGCAACTCGGACAATTTAAGTTACTTTGAGCAGTTTCTGCGGTTTAGCTGAAGTCAGAATAAATAGATTATTGCGTTCTGGAAAGCCAAAACGCAGAACATTATAATAGTCAAGCTAAAGGAAAATCTTGAAACCGTTTTAATGTTATCAGTTGAAAAGATCAGAATCAAGAAAAGTTGCCGCAGCAATTTTCTGTGATCGAGAGTAGGTACAATAACTACAAGTTAACAATGATGTCTTAAGTAAGTGACAAGAACATGAAGTCGTCTCATATGACAATCAAGAGCAACAATAACATAAGTAACAGACGAAACAAGAGCAAGAATAACATAAGTAACAGACGAAACAAGAGCAAGAATAACATAAGTAACAAACAAAAGCAAGAGCAACAATAACATAAGTAAACAAACAAATACAAGAGAAACAATAACATAAGTAACAAACAAAAACAAGAGCAACAATAACATAAGTAACAGACCAAACAAGAGCAACTATTTGAAACTTTCCAATGTTATCACAAGTAGCATGCAAAATACAATAACAACAATCAAACATTTCCGACGTTGCTTCAAATGTCTTACAAACTAAAGGGAATCTTCAATAGCTGCGGCACTTGAAATTCTTTTATGCAGGAATAGAATAAATTAATCTATGATACCTTTATTTTCCTTGTCATTAGCTATATTTTTGCGCGCCAGCAATACCAATCGTTGGGCGTGCACATGCCCGATTCGATTTTATTACTCATCAGGATCTCTATTAGCCTACCCTCAAATTGAAATTCTTTTAGGTTGGATTAGAGTAAATTAAGCTATGAGACCTTGGGCGTGGCCAGATACATCAATTAAAAGGGTTTTACCTCCTGAGCCCAAAATTGTAATTAGATCTCAAATCGGTCAAAGATGAGAAGCTACAAGCTAAAAGTTTGTATTTGAAAAACGAAAACAAAAAACTCAAAGCCATTCTATGAGTCATCATGCATCGGCTAAAAACAATAGCAACAAGAAAATGTTGCTACCGTCATGACTGATAACAAACATTTGTTTTTAATATTTACATCTACAACATACGTACACATTCTATCAAGTTAGTCCGTTTGTATCTTTTAGTCTATATTCGATCTGGATGGAGGCTCCTACCTCTAAAATTGTAACCCTCAATGTTTTCTGTCTGTTTCGTCAAAACTTTTGAAAGAAGAAAAACTAAGATTTGTTTATATCAACTATTATGCTTTCCAAGAACATAGGCGAAGC